GCACTTTAAACTTTCTGGGAGCGCGGTTCTGTCCTTGAGTGAAGGCCAAGTGTCACACCAGTAGGTTCTGTATCTTTGGGTTTGATATCACTGGTTTATTTACGTGGTTGACTGAAGCGCCTTGTGCTCTTCAAGCACCAAATAAAAGTGCTGTCTCAGATTCTACAGCCTGAAAGCTGTATTACATTGACTGGACAAACTGTCGGATGCTACTCTTAGTGTAAGCCAAAAAGCAATAGGGGGATTTAAGACACAAGTGAAACGAAGGTTGCAGTAACACCGTATGGCTGTTGGATTGTCGTGGGGAGTTGGGTTGACTGACTGTTTTCTTTTTCATGTTGGCAGACTTGCAAAGCTCACTGCAGCAGTCCTACTGGCTAAAGATGTACCTGTGTACTTCTTTTCCACCTATGTCCCTACGCCGTTTGTGGTGAGTCATCTTCTCTTTTATGGTGTTGAACCATGCAGTTAAGGGAGTATTTGAAAGTTTACTAAAAATGTGAACTAGCAATTTTCTTCTCCAGTTCCATTATTGAAACAAAAATAGAGGCTGCTTGGTACGCTTGGCTCTGAAGGAGGCTGTAACAAGAATGTCGCTGAATTCTTCTGTGTGCAGATAGTCAGGAGAATCACATTCCACCCCAGGCTGCTGTGCGAGGACAATCGGTATTGCAGTCCAGGCTGTGCTCTGTTAGTTACAGGTGAAGCATTCTGCTGTTTTATTCTGTGCTTAACCACCTGGGTGTCACAAGGGTCAAAGGTGATATTTATGTGTATGTGAATATATACACATATATAGGGACTGTATGGTTTTGGACATAAGACTTACACTGCTTAGAGTGGAAGGAATGAAGGATTGCCTCTACTTTTAATATCTCAAAAACCAGAGCTTTCTGTTCTAGTCACAGAAGCTTTTTCTTGCAGGGTTTTAAACCCTTCTTCTCTATTCTGCAAGCTTTTCTGGTGTGCCGTGTGTGCTGTGGATCTTGTTTTGAGGGGAGGACTGAAAGGACTGGATGCTCTTTAGCTGGAAATACCTGTAACTTGTTTTTCAACAAGCCTTTTGGTGAATTCCTTTGTTCTGTTTCAACCTGTTTTCTCTTTCTCAAATACTAGAGTAATCCGAGTGTAGACTTTCTTTAGTTGGCCAGTTCACAATTGTGTTTATGTGATTGGTAAACAGAACAATGTTCCTATGCAATGGACTAGAACAAGCTTTCTCTCTATTACTGGCTACAGGAAACAGAATGATGAGCATTCACGTATACAATTTTCAAATAAACTGGTGAAACATTAAGAGCCACTTCTTCTGTAGCATGCTATTGCATAACTGTCCTGATAGTATAATGTTATTTGTGCCAGCTGCAGAACTCTTGGGTAAATGGACATTTCTGGGTTTCCTTTGTAGCCCTATGCTGTTCAAGAGCTCAAAGCGGTGGCTGGTGTGATGATCACAGCGTCCCACAACCGGAAGGAGGACAACGGATACAAGGTAAGGCTTGAACGTGAAGTTCGTAGCATGTCACGGCCAGCCGCTTTCCAGTGTTGCCTACGTGCCTTTGGCATTTGGCTGCTTCTGGAGGGCACGTGTGCATACATCAGAGGGAGAAATGGTTTCAAGTAATTCATCCTTCTGTAACCTGAATTACACGCACTTTCTTCTGCAACTAGAATTTAAGATCACGCTTCTTGTGTATCTTGAGCACGAGTCTGTTGTGACACTCCATAGTCTAATTAGCAGCTGAAGAAATGCTAATGCAATTTATTACACGTTCACTTCTTAGACTTAAAAATGAATTTCAAACTAAGCTAGAACTTAGGTGAATTAGTCCACACAGTAGGTAACTGTGCTGAAGTCGGTGACAGTTTAAGAGTTGATTAAGAAACCTTTGTAGTAGTGTGGTGTTCCCTGTAAGATTGTTTTTCTGGGCATCGAGAGAGAGACGGGTGGCTTCATTTTGAAAGCTGTGAACAGTGTAATCATCCATAATAGCAAATGCTGCTTAGGCAGTATTGTAACGCGGCATTTCCTTTCTAAACTTTGCAAGAACCTGAACTAACTCTAACCTTTAACTAAACTTAGCATTCTAGAAGCTTAGTAACAGGTCAGTGAGTAATGGCAAGGACAGGAAAACCAGTCTTACTCTGCGCAGAGATGACTCTGGGAGGTGATTGTACTGCACTTATCCTCTGTGGAACAAGCTGTAAAGTGCTTCACCAGCCTTTACTTTTGCTTAGCTGTAGCAATGAATAAGAAAATAAGCCGCATCTGTTTTCCAGATGCTTCATTTGTCAAGAAGCTATTGTGTTTGTGTCGTCTGATACAAAGCATTTAACTTTTGTCAGGATATTGTTTTTTCTAGTCTTTTACAAGAGTTGTTTTATCTTTCGCTATTTCGCCTGTGAATTCAGTAGCTTCTGAAGGTTTGGGACCATTTTAACCGAACTTGACAAACCCATAGTTTTGAAGATACGGAGTACCTATGGGTTTCATGAAAGCCAGCGGACAAGAAAAGAGAGACAGATTGGTCTGAGTAGACAGCCTGCACTGTGAACTCAACCATGCTATTGGAAACAAACTGTGGGAAAACTGGCATCTAAATAATTCTTTAACAAAGACTTTTTATAGTTCAGGGTTTAATAGTGTTTCCAGCTGAAAGATTACAGTTGTTCAGTTATGGAAAAACATGTACCTTGGCACACTGCTTATCTGTTTTGCTTCGATTTCAAAAACAAGCTGTGCTTCTTTTTCAAATGGAATGCCAGGCTATGTAGAAGGTAACGTTTTTCTTCTGTTGCAGTTTGCACAACGCTCTCAAATATAAGTGCCCAGTTTTGGTTTCTCACGTCCTGACGATTTCAGTCGTAATAGTTGAATACCAGCTTTTTTGAAAATGGACCGTGTTGCTGAGTAGCCATCGTTACAGAACTGAAATCGTAAACTGTGATTCCCAATGACTTTGGAGAATCGAGCCAGTCTGACGCTAGCCTTTTCTGTGTGACTTCAATAAGCAGGAATTGTGCAGAATCCTATAGCTAAAAGAATTTATCAAGTTAATAATCTCTGTAAATAAACCGTGTCTTGTTTTCCTTAAACTTATACCAGGTTTATTGGGAAAACGGAGCACAGATCACCTCTCCTCACGATAAGGAAATCATAAAATGTATAGAAGAGTGCGTTGAACCATGGAATGGCTCTTGGAATGAGAATCTAGTAGACACCAGTCCCCTTAGACAGGATCCTCTGAAGAAAATTTGTGACTGTTACATGGAGGATCTGAAAAAGATCTGTTATCATAGGTATCGTATAACCCCAAATGTACTTAAATTATGTTTTTAAGTAAGCTCTGGGTAACATGTGGAGACCTGACTGCTGACAGATAGACTTCAATAATAAAGCATGCGATGCTGCCATACATAAACATTTTTGGTTTGGGTATAGGGATTGGGCTGTCTTCCAAAATTATAAGCGTTTCGGACCTGCCTGTAGTGATTTTTGTCGTCACAAATGAGTGACTTGGTTTCTGCCGTTACGGTTCACAGAAGCTGGGTGCTCCGCTCTGCCACAGCCATCACTGGCTGCTCGAGGCCGTTGCTCTGTGCTCTTCATGGTGCGAATAATTTTTGGTCCTCTCCCTATTCTGTCTCACCCCATCCCTTCGCTGATGCGTCATTAAATTAGACGGTCACCATCATTAGGACTAAACCATACTTCTTGACAATAAAGCAGCCTGCCTTTGGACACCAGGCGACAGCAAAGCACCCTGATGTGAACCATTTTATGCAAACGAATATGCTCAGAGTTCTGAATCAAATACAGAAGTTCAGAGTAAAGGTGAGGTGTACATGCATAGAATAGAGGTGAGAAGATTAAGTTTAAAGGTTAGGTGGGGCAGAAGACAAGAATAAAAGGAGGGGGATGAATAAGGTAGGTGGAGTAGAGCCAGAGTAAGATCTTCAGGGTGGTGGAAGAGCTTGAGTTTGATGCAGAAATCAACAGTTCGTTCTTGGGAGACTTTCAGCCGATTCAGGAGAAGGTAAATATCTCATTTTCCAGGAGAAGCAGCTTTAAACCAGCAATTTCTAGTGAAAGTCCAAATGAGCACTTTTCACTCATTTCTTCTTTGAACTTAATGCAGAAATCAGCAGAATAGTACAAAGTGTAATTGCATTTTCTTTTGCTTTAACTTTCCCACATGAAAGTAGTCTTGTTAAATAACTAAAATCTTAACTGAAATTCTTTTTTCCTTCTCAGGGAGCTAAACGTGCAAACAAATTTGAAGTTTGTTCATACCTCTTTTCATGGCGTTGGACACGACTACGTGCAGTTGGCTTTCAAAGCATTTGGCTTTCAGCCCCCCATTCCAGTACCTGAACAAAAAGATCCAGATCCAGACTTCTCTACTGTCAAATGCCCAAATCCTGAAGAAGGAGAATCTGTGCTGGTATTTTTGTTTCTACTTCATTAGATTTCTATGAGCTTTCCTCTGTTTGGATATGATACTGTGTTGAAAAACAAATCAAGGAAGGGAACAGGGAGTACCTGCCTTTCAGCTGTGTTGGTACAGTGGGCAATCCATAGGTGATTGTCTTTCACTGCGTGTTATATGTAAGCAGGAAGACTGTGGATTTATTTGCTCTTGTGATTTTATTTTCTTTTCCCCCCTTCCCTCTTTTCCCACCAGGAGTTGTCACTGAGGCTTGCAGAGAAAGAAAACGCTAAAGTAGTAGTGGCCACTGATCCAGACGCAGATAGACTAGCAGTGGCAGAGCGGCAGGAAAAGTAAGTGATGGGACCTGTTATTTTATCTCTTTCTGCAGAAGAGGTACCGAAAATTGTGAAATGTCCCCAGATGGTTGACAGGCACGCACCT